TTGTATGCTTTTTAAATCAACTGGATGCATACTTTTAGAAGAGTAAAAGATGTTTTCAAACTTGAGCTTTCGAGCTCTGACCACATATTCAAGTTTAATTCTTTTAAATGGTGAGGTTTTAGGCAGAACTGGAAAATGAGGTTTTGCTCAGCCGCTAAATGAAAGACTCTTCGAAATGAGGCATAGCTTTGTATAACCTACCTGCTCTATCCTGTTGAGAATTTATTTTTTCATACACCTGCTGAGCATCTTGATACTTTTTAATCAATAGCTTTTTTCTTTGTAAGCTTTGGTGTAAGAGTTCTCTTTTTTTTTAAATAATTTTTCAAGGCTACAGAATTTAATCTATGATGCTCTTTCTCTATTAATTTTTTTATTCTTTTTCTAAAAAGTCTTTTTCAGCTCTTAGCACTCTGTTTTTAGACTATTTTCTATGGAGAGTTTGGTTTTTAAATTATTATCTTTCTCCACAAAAATCTCCTCCTTTTCTACAGACAAAATCTTTGTTTCTCGTTCAAAGAAAATCTTTTCTTTTTCTAAAGCTTTTCCTTTTTGCTTTTTTGTCAGAGGGTTTTTGTTGTAGTTTTATAAGATCTTGGGTTAAAATAGAGATTATTTGCTCCAGTTCAGAATGGAAATAGCCAGAGGTAGAATATGCCTGAGAGTCGGAGCCGAATCAAGAATCTTCTGCATCACTGTCAACAGCCATACCACAGAAGTGAGCTTGGTCCTCTTCTTCTAATGTAGAGTCAGAGACCCAGTTCTCTTATTCGGCCATAAGATTCCTCTGGGGCTAATTGTACTTGTACCTTGTTTTTGTAATACAATTCATCTTTGACTAGAGGGTTTTTGCACTGCTTTGAGTATTGGCCCGGTTTTTTGCATCTGAAGCACCGAACTGCATGCTTCTTCTTGTCAGACTGTTATTCCTCTTTCTTGATTAATTGAGAAGGAGAGTTCTTTGGCTCATACCCTCTATCTTTTCCCCTATAAGTTCTACTACCTTTCTTGTCAAATACCTTCTTCCTAAACTTCTTCTAAAACTCCTTGGTGATAAGTGCCAAGAATTGTGCAAAGGCACTTATGTCGTCATCTTCACAGCTTGATGCTCTATCTTCATCATCGCTCTCTACTACTAGAGCCTTCTTTTCTCTTCTTGTCTCATCTCTCGATTTGCGTTCTCTCGTTGCTTGGCAAGATCCAATCTCTTTGTGTAACACCCCATACCACACATTGCATGTAACATACACTTTAAACAGAGAAATACATATTTATCCACCACATAGGTCCCTTAGTACAAGAAATTACCAGTATAAAATACATGGTTTAAAAATTCAAAATACAAATCTTGTACTCTATCATGTTTGACTAACAAAACTATACATAACATAGCCAAATCTTCACGTAGATATACATATAGGGAAATTTTACATTTTTCCCTTTCCCTTACCGTCAGCACCACATACAACACATATTTAAAATCACAAAACGAGGGTTAGATCGAAAGGTTTAGTGAGTTACTCTATTAAAGTTATTGCAGGGTGAAAATCACCAAAACTTTTATATAAAACAACTTTTCATATGTATAACATATATATGTACAAGTAAGAACACAATATAAATACCTTTCACATTCCAAGCTAATAATTTCTGTTTGTAAATAATATATCAACTCTAGACAGGTTTATAATAACCAAATTAACATAGTGCCACTTTTAAACCTTTTTCTATTCAAACAAGGTTTATACAAAGTTTCAGGCCAAACCTGTTATCCCATTTTCTCTCTATAACATTCATACAATGATTTCCAACAAGAACCCTGATCCTGAATCTTTAAATCACAAAGAAATAAAAATTCCAGACCACAATAGCCTTAAGGGATATAAAAGTAAGAGTTATATTATATAACACACACATACAATTGCCACCCTTATATCCAAATGTACACCTCTCCTTGATATGTCACTCTTATCCCATGGTACACCTCCTTGATATTCCACCCTTATCCCATGGTATACCTTTCCTTGATATGCCACCCTTATTTCCTCATCAAAGCATTTCACAAAACAATTTCATTTAGACCGCAGTCAATGGAACTACCAGTTCAAAATCATCTTTATCAAAATTCCCATTTCTATATATAAAACAAGTCAAAATGCGAATCCTGTCAAAATAGACTTGGCCGGACTTCAAATTCGGTCAAGTCTTGGCCGATTTACCAAATCCGGACAACAAATCGCCTAAGGCTTGTCCGATTTAACACATAAGAGAATTTCAATACTTTTGTCCAGATAACAAATCCGGACAACACATCGCCCAAGGCTTGTCCGATTTAAAATAATCCGGTCAACACATGGTCGTATTCATACYTCTCCATTCAAAATATTTAACATAAATTCAAAGTTATAAATCGCTCAACTCTTGTCCGGTTTAGGATTAAATCGCTTGACTCTTAACCAGTTTCAAACTAAATCGCTTGACTCTTAACCGGTTTAAATCTAATCCGGACAATACCCATATAATATCCGGGTTTCGTTAACTCGTACATACTGGGTTAAGTAAATTTTTGGTAGAATTATGCATAATATATTTGTACCCTAGACAAGTTTTGCGTCAAAAATGAGTTTATATCTATATTGACATAAAGTTAAGAATCTAAACTTGAAGGGTTAAAATCGTCAAATGATTAAACTTTTTATATATATATATAATATAATATAATATAATTAAAAAAAAATATATATATATATATATAATATATATACATATGCATGCAGATGCGATTTCACCGCCTCATTCTCAATCTCTTGCCACTTTTTCTCTCTCTAAAATTCTCTGATTTCTTTCTAAATTTGGCATCAAGTTACTAAGAGAATCGAAGTAACAATTATATATTCGGAATCCACTTTCCGAACCCTTCTTACAGGTATAAATTTCATTCGATTTCATTAAGGTGTTTATGTTAGGGATATTTAAATCGGTTTATAAACTGTGTTTATATCTAAGTTTACGTTTATTGATGTTGTCAAAATCATGATATATTTGATGTTTAGAATGTTAGAACTGGTTATATTGATGTAGAAATGAAAAGGGTATATTATAGTTTCATTATGGCTAGATTGTGGGTATATGTTTAACCGTACACCAATTGTTCGGTTAAATGTCGAAAGGAGTAAAAATGCATTATTAAGCTTAGGTTAATGACCATTAGACTTGTTTTACTGTTTAGTGTGTTTATAGTATGTAAATGTAGCGAATCATGAAAGTTGAATCATAAAAGTTAGTCGGGAATTACGGAATCGGATTTTACCGACAATGCAACCCCTGTACTTTGGCAGTGTATAACTCACAAACCGTAAGACAGAATAAGCTCGTATTTTGTAGTAAAAAAGATCTTACTGCATACTACAACTTTTATGAAGAGTCGAAAATCCAGTTATGACTCTAGGTGGCTCGAAACAGTGTGTTTTGGGGGCTGTTTACACTGTATTCGGTATTAATTTGCAGTTTTGTAAAATTCATATAAAATAGATGGATGATCCAAATGAGATTATTTTAAAAGCAATAGACTCGTATGATACCAACATACAACTTTTGTTTAGACAATATAATCTGGATTGGTTTCTAAGTAAGAAAAAAATGCTTAGAAATAAGAGGGTCGGAAACGGTTGGATCGAAAGAGAATAATGCTAAGTTTTACGTTTGAGTTTTCAATTCATATCCGGCTGTCTTTCTTGAAGTCTACGTTATTTAAGTAGATTAAGACCTAAGTAATTTTATTTGAATAGTTATATTATGGTTTCTATGCTTTATAAATAGTAACCGTTTATGCATTCATTAGGCACGCGGGTAAATCAAACTTGATCGTGAACTTCCGTTTGATCGTGCGTTAATTGTCAAAATCGGTTAAGGTACGGATTCCATATCTCACTTGACACGGGTATAGCCATTTGTGTAAGGCTTCCTAATCCGGATAATCTGTGATAAATTCCAAATAATTTGTTTTGAATTTCCTTTATGCTTATCAAATGTTATTGAACTTTGTTTCCCTTTGAATTACGATTTATATTTTTATTCGGAATATGGATCATTTGGATCACTTGACTTGTTTGTTTGCTTTATTGTGAAACACTTTACTATAGCCTCAATAACTGGAGCACTGGTATTGAGATGTTTCCATGGTGACAAAAACGATAATGGCGTCCTTATTTTTATAGTCCTTAAAAGTGGACTTGATTATGTACCGGTCGAATAGAGGGTGTATGGATCGATCCTAGGAACCGTTATCGGATATTGAATTGTGGCAGTGGTTAAATCCACGGAGAGGATTGCTGTGTTGTGCTCACACCCCTTTCCTCACTTGTGCTTGAATGGACTGATCATCCTTTGGGAACAACGC